GAATAACAAAAGAAACAGAATCCTATCTCTGACAACTGGGTTCAACCACTCCTTGGCTTTTTGTAACCCAACATGTCAAGTGCAGTATTCAAGGGGATTCATTTGACTTCAAAACATGGACTAATATCGCCCCAAAAGATTAAAATCCAGGGAGATCAAACGCGTTTCTCAGAGGATCTTTAGTTTGGAGGTGACATGGAGTGGAAGAAAAAAAAACTGGGGGTGCGTGGGTTAAATGGATTTAATTACTGAGGTAAACAACCTAAGGTGCCATGACAATCCTAAAGCACGGAATAAACACCAAACACTAGCGCCACAAAAATACCAACAGCAGAGCTGTACTGTACAGCTGTTTACAGTTCTCCCTATAAAAGTGATCAGTCTCTTCTGTCAGACCACTAAGCTGACGACAAGAGCTCAGACAGTCCTGTTTAACAGTTGCTCAGCAGCTTACATCTAACGAAAGGTTCCATTTCACAGAGTCAGCACAGCACTGGAGGCTTCCATGTGTGTACACGTGTGTTTTCACTTCTAAGTATTTCTCGCTACCCAGTGATCTGCACATAACCTACCTAGGCATTTAACAGTTGGCAAATACAAATACACGGGGAATAAACTAGTGACAGAGCCACACTTAAAAGACATGTCACACATCCTATCAGATGCCTAAAGGTCAATGGAAATGACATGCTGAGCTGTCAGTCAGCTGCCTATCATGTGTGTGTGTGAGCGTGTGCTCGGGAGAAAAGCAGAGCCGCAGATAACTTCAACCTTCAATTAAATGCTATCAGATAGCCTGCGACTCAGCTGTCAGTCAAGATGCAGTCACCCCAATGATGCTCCACATCGCTCTGCACCACTGACGACATCAGGAAATGGCTGACTTTGAAGAACAGTGAGGGAGTGGGTAGACAGACACACAAGCAGACAGGATGACAGATCTACTCACAAACACATTTACATGCAGATGTGGAGCACACAGGCAAGTACATACAGGCCAGCAAAGGGACACACTTAAGGGAATTAGAGTAACGGCATGCTGGCAAGGCAACTTATTTTGGTAGAACTGACACGATGCACTGTATCCAGGCACCAGGGCAATCTAATTTTCTACTGGTGAAACCATTGCAGAGGCTTTGTAGGTGACAAGAGTAGCCCCACTGAAA